AAGGAAGGCGGATGTGGTTGGATGATAGGAAGCACGCCCTGACAGGGCACACAGTTTGGAAAATTCGGCCTACTGAAAAGTTTTATGTGGGTTTTTATCATAACTATCCACCCGTAGGGACCAAGAATAGTCTGCCTCACAGCAGACTTACTACTGTCATAAAAAACAAATGCAATGTTGGTAATCACAGCTGCGTGTGAGCAACTTTATCGGCAGCAGAGATAAATAGTGGTATGTTATACATACTAAATAGCATCCGATTCCCAACCGGTAGTCATTTTCAACAATAGTTAACAACATTTGGCAAATATTGCGAAACAAATCCAATAAAACTCCCATAAGACAAATCGGAGTCAGAGTTCAGCTAACCCATGATTTCAGAAAATGAAAGGAGAAAAAATTCTTCTGTTATATATGTATGAAGTTAGATTGATATGATGCAGTGAAATGAATCTTTATGTCAATGAGAGCGTGTGGGGATTCGAAACGTTCCTTGTCATGAGATATCATATAGAATAATGGAGGTGCAACAGAAGGAGCTAAACGCGAACAACAGGGTCAGCGGGGACAATGGGGTTGAACCAAAGAGGGGACAGTAGATGTCACGAGGAAATCACCAAACTGTCGGAATTAACTAATTCCTACATTAATTAATTAAGGAATTAATTACGAGTGGCACAGGAAGCAGAGGTCAGCTTCAAGGTTACTTCCTACAGAACTTTAACGTTCTTCAAGTGACGGCTGTTCAAATATGATGTTCAGATGTTGACGAACAGAAGGATCTCGATTTTCTAGTAAACTCCTCACTTAAACCATCTCCATAAAGTCCAAAAACAGCTAAGTGCGCTTCACAAATTCTATTTGCTTTTAGACGGACATCGTCCATCTTGACAACGAACTCTTCCTTAAAACTTACGGAGCGTTTGTTAGGTCCTACTTGGAGTATGCCATATAGGTCTGGTGTCCGTAGGTTAAGAAGGGTTCTCTACACCTGAAACGACTACATGCGGGGACAACGAAGATGGTTAAGACTCTTGGTCATCCGTCTTATCAAGACAGCTTTACTGATCTGCGCGGTAACCCAATTCGAACTTACCGAATTTTCAGAGGCCATGAGTGCGCCGTCAAAATTCTCTGAACTCTTTCAAGCTTACTGTCGTCAGTTGCGTTTATTAGATGAACGACAGGATAGAAATATTCGAGGATTGAGGAGCAAACGTGAGGTACACTTTTAAACTTGGCCTTAGAAGAAGGATAGAATGTGACCTAATAACCACATATTATTCATCATTTGGTGCTACCGTGTTGTAAAAACGAGCGATAAGAACTAGTAGATGAAGTCTACTTCATCAGTGTTGTGGGCCTCCCTACAATAAAAGCCTATGGCATGTAAATTCTTTGTCGATTTGGCATGTGTAGACGACACTTAGTTTGAGACACTTCTCATTTGTTTGACCCAATACTATCTTCCACGGTTGTTTACGTTCTTACTTCACACACAAACCTTTAAATAATAAA